AACAACTTTCCACGTCTTACACTATTTTTTTGAACCCTGCCTCGTCTCAGATGTCTCCTATGTTTTAAGGCAAATTTTATAGGATAAGGTATTATAAGGTGCATGTACATTATTGCATTTTAGTGGATGATTCTAATTAACCCCCGTTGTTGAAAACAACCCGGTTGCTAAATAGCAGTTTTCTATTTCGCAACCCCCATAAGATATTTGCAAAACATAACCCTCCTCAGACATTGTTCAGCTTTGTAGCTTCAGTGCTTAAGCTCTTGGTTCGGCTAGGTGGGGAATGTGGGTCTGGATCTCATGCCACTTGTTCAGGTTGTGCGGCTCCTGCCAATGATCATCACCGGCAATTGGCTCCCTCTCCAATTTGCCCTTTTTGTCTCTTTTTGTCTCTGCCACGTTGATATGCCTACGGCGCGTCTGAGAGCAGAGCTATAACAAAAATAAAATAATTTGGATGGCCGCTCCGAGGGCCGTAGTGGTGGTGTGTTGTGCGAGGTCATTCAGCGAGAGTTCAGAACTCGGTCGCGTGAACTAAAACGGGTACTAATGATGGGAGATCAAATTTGGTGTGATGCGGAGAATAACAAGTTGAATAAATGCAGCAAGTGACGAAGGCTGCACAGGATCAATGCGGGAGATGACGAGGGACACGGAGGATAATGGAGGATGATGGAGGACACAAGAGGGCGAAATACTAGGCTTTGAGTGTGAATGATGAGGGGAAATTTCGTTATTTTTGTCTGTAGAACTACCTACATTTTATAGTACAATGAACATAGCAATAAGCAAACAAAATAGTAAGCAAAAAAAAGTGAAACATATCGGATCTTCTAAATGTGTGTGTAATAAAATCAAGAAAGTCCGAATTAAATTGAAAAAGCTGTGGAAATGAGTGATGAGACGGGAGGAATGGAAAAATATGGTTAAGCTCAAGGCACGGGTATATTTTTGGAATGGAGAGCATCGGAGTGGCTTTGTCGCTGGTGCTGCGATACTAGTCGGGGAACGTGTTGGCGCTCGAGTTGAACTGGGTGTGATCTGAAGGCATAGCCACATCGGTCAATCAGCCCAATCAGTCCGATTACATGTCTAGATCCGAATGGTGCTCATCAACGTTCACATAACCGGAGAAGCTTGGGACAAGCATTCACATTCTGAGTTGGTCCATGGTCATATTTTGGCTCAAAGCTTCTGTGTCAGTGATGTGGGCCCACGACATCTGCACAATCAGCGGCCAAGCTTGTTGAAATTTTCAAATGTGTGGTTGTGATCCATCTGCGCATCCTGTATTTGGCAAAGCTAAGTGAAGCGGTGGGGATGTGGCTTGCAGCCCACCAAACAAGTACTTCACAACTGTGAGCAAGCCACAGGGCAGTGCAGTGGTGTGCCTTGTCCTGTTTGAAGATGTGCTGATGTCTCCGGATTGATTTCCAGTGTTGTGGCTCTGCTGAAGTTTCACCTTCTTGATCAGGGTGCTTGTGTCCCTCATCTCGAGTGTCTCATTTTGTGTGTCTTTGCTAAGATGTATGGGCTTCACTCCAGCTTCTTGGGTTGCACCTGTTGGCCTCCCCATTGCACAGGTCAAGGGGGTCCAACAATTAGAATATGAAAAAAAAATGTATGTCATTTGTTGGCAGCTTCCTGCAGGATCCTGAAGGATCCTGCAGTGAACATCTAGGAAGATACTAGAGGTTGATTTGAGGGTTGCCAACAAGTTATGGGGCATATGTGCACCCATTGGCATGATATGAGTCCTCAGAGTGCCAGCCAACTAATATTTTCGGCAGATGCTTAACAAATGGCATATGCAAAGCATTTGCCAACTTGTTCATACTTTTGGTTCTTGTAAGTTCAGAGCTCTCATATGGCATGGAATGTAAAGAAAACACAAAATTCTTGATGAATGGATTATTTTTACAGCTCTTTGCGGTACATAAGGTGCAGTTGATTTTTTCTTCTCCTTTTTGGGCACTTTTTGGCCATTTCACAGAGATTGCATGTTGTGGGCTCAGTTCATGTCCAGAAGCTCCACAAACTATATGTAGATCATTGTACCGTAATTATGCAGGGCATGGCTTACTCGGATTTTTTATAGTGTGAGTAATTCAAATAGAATTTGTGATTATGTTGTTTATAAGCAGATCACTTACCACAATGGGAATTACACCTCGGGGGACCTGCACCATTTGCCAAATGTGTATATCAGTATTATGGAGGGCACTGGGTACTCAGATCTTGTGTCTGTGCACCAGGATCCACAAACAATACCAATTTATTGACCAAGCCACATTTTCATGACTCCCAGCACAGGACTGATATATTGATGTGTGCTCAAAGACACGAAACATTGGAACAAGACACACCTTGGCATAATAAGGAGGGCATCCACTGTTCATATTTTACATATGTGTCCCTGTTCGAGGATGCAACACATCCCAATCTCATCAGTCATGCCCAAGTGTTGTCACCCAGTAACACCTGTGACACTTTTCTCTGCATCAGGTCCTCAAACAGTGGTGCATACAGCAAATATGAACAGTTGGTGCCCTCTGTACCATTTTAAGGTGCATCATATTACAAGGTTTCGTGTCTGCAAGCAGAGAATACATCAATAAATGAGTCCTCTTCTGGGAGCATAAAAATGTGACTTGGCTGATACATGAGTATCACTCTTGGCCCCTGGGTCATGGAAACAAATTACGAGTAGACACTGTCCTCCCTAATACTGATATACATATTTTTCAGATGGTGCAGACACCTATAGGCAGAAGTCGTGTTGTGGTAGGTGATCTGCCCATAAACCACATAATCACAGATTATGTTACAATTATTGACACTATAAAAAATCCTAGTATGCCATGGCCTGCATAGTTGCACTACAATGCTTTCCATATTGTTTACATAGCATTTGGAGATGAATTGAGCAACATTCAATCTCCATGAAATGGTCAAAAAGTGCCCAAAAAAAAAAGGGGGGGGGAATTGACCCCTGTGATGTAGACTGCGGTTCTACTGGAAGTAGGATATATGTAGGTAGTATTTGCAAGTGAAGTAGTCATCACGAAAAGTGGAAGATGTTTGCCAAGTGATACATGGCATTGCAAGGCACACAAGTGTCGCAAGTCCTGGAAGCCTTGTGAGTTTTTCACATTGGCTTCCCAAAGATCCACATTGACTTGCAAGGGACATCTGGCCAGGTGAAACAGACAGGCCAGATGACATTGGGAAGGCCTTATGGCAGCGAGAGAGAAACACGAGCTCAATACAGTGCAGTTTGGATGCCGGGCATGGGCAACAAGGACGGGGGCACCGGATCCAGCCGGGGACGCAGGTGGGCGGAGACGCGCTACTTGGTATGGTGCACATTGGGGGTAGGCACCATTGCAGTCCTAGATGTCTACATGACTGGTCAGATCATAGGATGGTTCAGAGGGTATGTACACATACCCATTGAAATCATCAAGGAGAACACCCTGTGTATCAGTTAGAATGAAACAGCCACATGCGGCACATCGCGAAACAATGCAGAGGTAGGAAAGGAAGATGGCCACAGATGGCCGGTAAATGTGACACAGCACACAGAAAGGAAACAAGAGAAAAGTGGGGGGCTGAAACGTGACGCAGCGCAGCTAGACACAGACCTCGCAAATACACACGCTATTGCAGAAGCCAGACAATTGCTGGTACACAGAGAGCTTGCAGTTACTGAGGGGTGAACCCAGATGCTTATGACGATGCATTTAGAGGACTCATGGGAGGTCACAAAGTGCTTTGCAGCACTTGGGGGTTCCGGAGCCTGGAGAGACACAGCAGCCACAGAGAGCATGATATCAGGGATGCTTGAAGTCGACACTGGCTCTTCATGATGATGGCATCGGTGCTTGATACAATTGTGTTCGTTTGGCTCTTGAATACCGGTGTGGGACGAGTCAGCGAGTGGGATGAGTCATGAGGCATGCATCAGGGGTGGCAAGCACAAGAGCGAAGGGCAGGCACACATTGAGATGGGGGAGAAGGAAAGATGAACCAACAGCCAGTTGTTTGGCGACCCAAACAATCATGTGATTGCACACGGACCGTCGGAGTTTGAAATGGACTTAATGAACCTTCTCATTGCCAACTCACTGTCATCAAACAATGTCCCCCAAGGATGTAGCTGGAGGACCCGCTGCTCAACTAGTTCAAGGACTATTTCATCTAGATTTGACAATGACAAATTCTGAGTCATGAGCCAGTTCCCCTGCTTACTGTAGTATGCCACAGTGCTGCACGTTTGGCTACATTTTCTGAATGTGGTTCACTGTAGTATGTGTTTCAGGTTAGTAAATATAAATGAAGGTAATTATTTATCAAGCATGAACACAAGCCTGAACAGGATTTAAATGAAAGTGTGTACAGTGTAAGGCAACCAGGACGTACCAATGCACAGCCAGGCAACAGTACATGCCACAAGCCAGCAACATGCAGTGTAATAGTGGCCTGGGTTTGCCTTGCAAGGTATATACATGGCCAGGTGAGGACCATACAATGCAGGTAACATGCCTGGCTTTGGCTTGGAAGGCCTTCCCAACCCCATCAGGCAAGGTATGTCACATAAGGTCATATCAGATATCTACGGATTTGCTGATGGTGTTTGTCCTCCAGAGGGAATGAATTTTACAGCCTTAAGTTGAGAGGAAGGCAATAGTCTTTGGTAGCGGTGTGGGAGTGACATTGTTCTATAGTGTGAACAGTCACTTTCTGAAGCCTAAGAACAGTTGCTTAGCTCAGTTGCTTAAAGAGCATCTCCTAAGTGGTTTTCAGAAGATAAGAGTGGGTGGTGCCCAATGTAGGCAGTGTGTTCTGAGTTGATTCACAGTCAACTTGCAGGTGGGCCCATAGGTGAGGGGCAATTGGGCGAGCAGATTGCAGACAAGTGGCTGACTTATCCTGTGATCTAGACTCTATTTGCTAGTGTGTGTATGAATTGTGCTCAGGGTTGACATCTCTACTCAGGTGTCATAGCTTAGCTGGGAGAGCAGCAGACTGAAGTTGAGTTTAATCTGATGGTTGTGTGTTCAAGTCATGCTGATGCCATTTCTTTTATTTTTTGAGAAAATGTGAATGGCGGAGCCTGGACCTGGTTATCCAAAATGGTAATCCTTGGCAGTCTGTCAAATCAAAAAGTGAGCAAAATTTTCTGAGCAGTGGAGCGTATTTGCACCCCCCCAGAACGACTTTCTTGGCAAAAATTTGATGTAGCTTGTCAGAAATTTGATGCAACCGAATATGGCAGGCATGACTCAGCTAAGATTCATGCCTGCCTGTAGGCTCATTCAGAGGGTACGAACTTGGTATTAATAGGTCTATATAAGTCTAGTATATACCTCCTTCCAAGTCCCCCAGCACATTTTCAATATTGCCCTGGACCTGTTGAAGTAAATACACGGCCTTGTCTGCCTGGGCCACCCATTTCCGGGCATCCTCGCAATATTTATCGTGCTCCTGGTTAGCTCGTTCAAAAAAAATGCCCCCGTTTAGCATCCCAGATAGCTGTCACTTGTTGAATCTGCTGATGGAATTGCGCCATTTCACTTAGCTTGGGTCCCAGGACTTGTGATGCATATGTGTCCAGTCACTCAAGTGTCACACAGGAATCACATCAAAATCACATCAATCATTTGGGTCGGTTAAAAACTACGAGTGATGGTGAAAAGAAAATGGGTGGTGCAAATACGCTCTAGTACCAACATTTTCAGAAACAGCTGTAATGTCACACTCTGACCATCTGATTGCATCATGGAACATTCCGGTAGCACAAATACAGCTTATATACAGCACGGATACAGCTTATACAGCAGGACATATATACAGCAGGACATACATATACAGTAGGATAACCAGCATTGACACAGGATGCTTGCAGATATAAAAGCAGAGTAGTTACAGCCTGTACTCTAGTCCTTTTATTCCATCATTTTTGCGAAGCTTAACCCTGCTCTCCAAGACTTCATCTTACTGAAGCCTTGCGACTGAGTCCTGGCTACTCCATAGTGGATTGTGAGATAAGATTGGCTTTGTCTTTGACATGTAAATCCCAAACAATCGGTTTTGGTGCAAATGAAACTGATTGTTTGGGATTTACAGCCATTTGCAGAACTTAGGGCATGGCCCGTTTTTTTCTGTTTTTGGTAAGTTTTGACCAGAACAGTTGCCCTGGGCTCAAATCTCAACCATTTTCCTCGGGATTATACTCATTCTCTTCACATTGTAAATATGGAGGGGATGATATATTCAGAATTTGAATAGGCATTTAGGCACGAATTTGTGGTATACAGAAGCAGTTTTTTGGTGGTTCCATTGCAGAACACATCACACAAGGGGAGTTCAGCTCTGATTGACCTAGCATTTGATATGGTGTATTTTAAGGTATTACAGAGGGCATGAAACACCGGGATAGTGAACATGCATCCTACTTCCAATATATAGCTCATCAGGAAATTCCCTTGATATTCTGCTTGCCAAAGTGAATGATAAATTTGAAAGACAAGTCACATTCACTATCCCAGTATTTAAGGCCCTCCATAACACCCTGAAATACATCATACCGAAAATTTGGGTCAATCCAAGCCCAACTGCTGTTGTGCGATGTGTTCTGCGACGGAACCACCGAAAAGCTATGTATGTGTACTACAAATTCGTGCCTGGTCACCAGTTGAAATTCTCAATATGCCATGCCCTCTGCATTTACAATTCGAAGAGAATGAGCATACTCCCAAGCGAAACAGTTGATATTTGAGCCCAGGGCAGCTGTTCTCGTCAAAACTTGCCAAAAAAAAAAAAACCGGCCACACCATAAGTTCTGCAAACAGCTGTAATTGTCACCTGAATTGATTGTTTCGGGGCCCATTTCAGACTCACTGGTTGAACATTTCAATTTTTTCACCTTCTTTTTCAGTGAAAAATGTCGTTTATTTTTCACACATTTTTCACTGAAAAAGCAGGTGAAATTTTCAAAACATTTTCATCACTTTCTTATTTTATTTCGAATTTTTCACCTTGAATCGAGAAAGTGCTGAAAATGTTTTAAAATTTTCACCTTCTTTTTCAGTGAAAAATGTCTGAAAAATAAACAACATTTTTCACTGAAAAAGAAGGTGAAAAAATTGAAATGCTCAACCAGTGACTGGCCCAAATTGATGTTGAAGTTTATTGTTTCTGTGTGGCAGTGAAATGGAAGATGAATTCTTTAGTTTAAATTCTAGTTTCAAGACAATTGGATCTTCAGATATAAGGTGGTACTAAACTAACACTGAAGCCAATTGTTTTGTTAGTAGTTTCAGCCATGCTGGGATCCCAATTGAGTTCAATGATTTCAGCTGCCATGAAAATAGATACTTATTCCAGCACTAATTTCAGCATAGCATACAATTATCAGTTAAATTCTTGTTTCAGGGTAACATCTAAATACCACTGGTTGAATATTTCAAATTTTTCACCTTCTTTTTCAGTGAAAAATGTCGTTTATTTTTCACACATTTTTCACTGAAAAAGCAGGTGAAAATTTCAAAACATTTTCATCACTTTCTTATTTTATTTCGAATTTTTCACCTTGAATTGAGAAAGTGCTGAAAAAGTTTTAAAATTTTCACCTTCTTTTTCAGTGAAAAATGTCTGAAAAATAAACAACATTTTTCACTGAAAAAGAAGGTGAAAAATTTGAAATGCTCAACCAGTGTACAGAGAATCATAATTATTTTCACCCACACCTAAAATTTTCTATTTCGGGTGCGAGAGGGATCTCTTCATTTTCGACTCTGATGTTTCAGAAAGATCCGAAAATTCTATTATCACTATTGTCCCCCACCAGACCAGACAAACCGGGAACTTGGACAAACAAGTATTGCTCCACTGTTTCTTGTTCAATTTGTGAGATCTCTTTTGAGGTACACTCTATAGGATGTGCTCTATTATAGTAAGATAAAAAACTGGATAAAAATTCGCTCTCCCTGACCCATCAGCCCTTAACAATCTGCCAAGTACTCTGATTTTGACTGATTTTTGATGTTTTCAGCGCCATTGACAAAGTTGGGACTCAAATATTACAGAAAATTGGCTCAGACATGAATGAAAGACATTATTAAAATGTGTTAGTAGCCTAACACCGAGGTTGGGTGTCTGTGGCCATTGCAATTGGCAAAATAATGGTCAGATTTCATATATTTATGCTCCAAAGTGCTCACAAAGTTTAGTTGTATATCATGAGCCCCATAGAGGGTCTGCCAACTATTGGTGCTTTGAAAAGTGCATTAGAGGCAACAGAAGGCCCACGTATAATTTCAAGGCAGTGTGGTAAGAGATGAGGTCAGGACGAGACCGACAATCAAAATATTCGGCCTTACCTAGTACTCGGACAACCGACTACAACAAAGGAAATGTCATTGTGTGGCAACCAATGGACCAATTTTCACAAACTAAAATCCTATACTGGATGACAAGACAGATTGCAGACTATCTAAGTACTCAGATTTGTACCAAAACGATTAGTCATAACGATATACACTGATCTTCCTTAACCGTCCGAGATCGCCGTAGGGGATAGTAGATCCAGTCTTATCCCTCCAGAACGTCTGGTAACCAGACTAGCACGTCTTGTCAAACAGCTCCCCAAACAATTCCCCAACATCCACGGAAATATTCCACCCAAATGATGTCCCGTTCAGCCAGCTGCAGGTTCATGGAATCGATTTTTGCAAAGCCAACAAGAGGATTTGTCATCTTTCGGGAAATGCCGGTGCCACCGGATTCCCCTCGACACCCAATCGACAACATTCGCGGCAGTACACATGGTAGCTTCGGCTGCACGCCGGTGCTGTTTGGTCTTGCTGTCTCTCCCTCAGTCGATGCGCCCCGGAGAACGTTCCTTTGAGGCCGAGACAATGGTCCAGGCTGGCTAATAATAACATAAGGGACAATAGGGAGTACACGTTACGACGCGTACGCCTTCTTATTGTGTAGCATGGTACAGCAACAGCACAGTATAAAGGGTACGACTGCTTTGAAAGCGCTCTCCGCCCTTCTCCTGTCTTCTTCAGCCTTCTCTTTCCCGTCTGCTAGTCTCAGTACCGCCAGGGGCGATCCACCTACGCCATGACCGACACGTTCTTTATTCTACTTCTTCTGATGTCTTATGTGTCCGCACACGGCTTTGTATCTCGAGTCTCCATCAACGGGCAGATGTACAAGGGCAACGTTCCCAACGAAGACCCCGACGTGAAGAGCATCATTCGCCAGATCTCCGACGCCGAGCCAGTGAAGGGAGCAAAGAATCCCGCTGTAAATTGTGGGAAGAATGCGCAGCTGGCTGCGCGCACGGCAAACGCTGAACCGGGCGATGAAATTTCCTTTTTCTGGGTCAGCGAGGATCCGACAATTCTCTCAGTGCGTTTCGGTCTTCATGTTTTGTTCCTATCTCATACTAAGTTGATAATCTCAGTGGCCGCATAATGCTGGGCCCATTGTGACCTATTTAGCCAAGTGTGACGATGCGGATTGCACGACGTTCAACTCTTCTGCTGCGAAATGGTTCAAGATCAAAGAGGAAGGTCGCATTCCCGGAAACGCTGACGGTAATTGGACCCAAAACATTATCTGTGAGTGCCCGAAGTTCTGCCTGTACCATTTTTACTCAGTTGCGCCGAAGTCGACGCAGTAAATGTCGCAGCCAACGTTACTTTGCCGTCAACACTCGCACCTGGCCCGTACCTCATTCGCCATGAGATAATCGCGTTGCAGAACGCGATGAACGCATTTCCGAATGCGTCGAATCCACTAGCCGGAGCAGAATTCTATCCGTCCTGCTCTCAGATCATGGTCGGTGGCAATCAAACTGGTGCTCCCACTCCCGACGAGCTTGTCTCTCTCCCGGGAGCATATAACGACACCGAGCCAGGGATTCTCATTGATGTATGACCGTTTTCCTACTAGTAGATTATCACTCACAGCTGCTACCAGGTTTACGACAACGTGCACGCGAAATATCAGTTCCCTGGACCGCCCGTCGCATCTTTCAGGGCCGCGTCGTCATCGGCTGGATC